GCGGAAGGAGCGGGAGGCGGCGGGAGGGGCGGGAGAGGGGGGGAGGGAACAGGGGAAGCCCCGACGGCCCCGTGAACCCCCTGGGGTCAGCCCAGCCCTGAGCCCCCGGACCCCTCCTCAGGGACCGAGCCCCCCCCCAGCCCCGCTTCTTCTGTGTCTTCCCCAGCCGGGGTCCCCCTGACCCCCCCACCGGGGCAGCCTGGACCCGTCGTCCGGTCACCCCGGGGGAGACCCCTGTGTCCGGCGCCCCACGGCCCCTTGGGGCTGCCTTGGCACCAAGTGTCCCTCGTTCCCGCTGCCCCTCGTTCCCCCATCCTGCTCCTCCTCTCCATCATTCCCAGTGTCCATCATTCCCAGTGTCCCTCATGTTAGAAATGAAATGTAGTGCTGTTTTTGCATTCTAGTGTTTGAAACACAGTGTCAGGTTTGGTTTATATCCTAATGTTAGAAATAGGTAGTTTGTTTGAGATAAGCGAGATATCTGCACATTCTAAGGACACCAGAAGTGGTTTATGGCCCAAGAAACTGAGGGAGTGAATTGGGTTCCACCTGGGGATCCAAACATGGAGAAGGATTTAAGGCCCAAGATCAGACCCAACAAAGCCACTTCTGTCCTGCTCTCAGGGCAGGATGACACCAGTAGATTTGTTAATTGGGAAGGCAGGCCAGGGGACAATAAAGGTCAAAATTTTACCTTAAAAGGTAAAAAGTGTCCTGTTAGAATGGGATGTGTGAACAGGGGCGGGAAACTTACAGGATAATTTTGAAGCGTCGGATGGGCTGGGAACCCTGGAGTGCCCAGCCAGTGGGGAAACGGGAGGGAAATTTGCATTGGGAATAGGGAATATAAACCGTTATTCACCTTACTGTGGGTGTGCCTGCTTGTTTAGGTCACCCATTCTTGCCAGAATGTAAATAAACTGTGCTTGGTTGAAGGATCCGTGTGGGCCTGTTCATTGGCACGACAAATGTTTCTCAGGGGGGGGCCCCGGGGAGCGGGACCTGCCCCCCCTGCTCCGCCAGGCGCCGGGACGGGCTCAGAAACGCTCGGAGAGGCACAAACGAGCTTTTTTTTATTAGGAGCCCGTAGGAAACGAGCGCAGAATTTTAACTTCCCGCTCTTCTCGTGGCACAGATGTTGAAACACGATGGTCGCATCCCCCTTTGCACACCGGTACAAAAATAATATAAAACTGCCTTTTTTTCTACCTATTCGGTATAAACTTTGGTTCGACGACATCAGGTCGGTGTGTCCTTAAAGCCAAACACACACGGACCCGGAACAAGTTATTCCTAGGAGCAGAAACACTGCAAATACAGAACCCAGGATCAAAATTGCCCGTAGGCAGTTTTATTCTTTCCCTGGAGTCCCCACCGAGGCAGCACAAGGCTCTTCCACTGCAAGGGAGGGGCTGCACAGAGGAACCAAAGCTCCTCACTACTGGAACAGACAGGGGCTAAAACTTCCAGTTTCCACTTCTAATCCTGCCTTCTTCCATAACATCATGTATCAGTGCCTTCTGAATGATGAAAGTCATAACTCTGGGCAGATCTCAGAATAAACAGTTAGCATTTTTGGTGCAATTTTAAATCTGGCCAAAAAAGAGCACAATGCATTCCTATGTATAAATGTCAAATTCATAACCCTCCTGGAATAAGACACTAGAAACAGAAGCTGCTTCTATTGCATTGCTGAACTGTTCCCAAAGTGCAGGAGAGGGAAGCTTAAGAATGTGATAAGTAATGAATGTTTAACATGACAAAACATCTTTCAGATAACTTAAAAGTAATAATTCAAGAAATAAACAACAACAAAAAATATTCAACACTGGTTTTAGGACAAGCAGTAACTTTTTTTTAAGAATAAAATTAATTTACAACATTAGCTTATCAAGAAAAATGTACATTTTATATCTATATAGTTTACAAGATGTTCCAGATCTGCTGTGTATTTCTATGGGAGGTATATATTACAGAATTATTTGGCTGCATTATAAGGCAATCAGTGAAGAACACGTTGTCCTCCAGGAAACCATTCAGAGCTGAGATCCAATCACATGATTATTTGCAGACAATTCCAAACGTTTCTGCTGACAGCAACCAAACTAGGCCGTATCATCTTTATTAAAATGTAAAGAAATGTGCTTAAAAGAGAAAGGTGTAAACTTGTAACCTCCACCAGAGTAGAATTTGTTCTGAAATTCCACCCTGAAATGAGACAAAAAAAAGCCAGAATCTGTGTATGAATCCAAACTGAGCAGTTGCCAAGGGACTAAACTGTGCAAGGCTGAACAAAGCCAAACTTCTGTAACGCCTGTGGCTCTGCCTGTTGTGCTTGTATGTCTGCCTTCTGAAACTGAAAACATCATCAGGTTCCAAGGTAAATACTCTCTGAATAGACTCCGATGTGCAGGGCTTGTGATATTAAGACTAAGAAAGGACTAAAAAATTCTTAAGGGTTGGCAGCCCCACTTTAGCAAAGTTGTGCTCACTAGTACAAATGTTCTGTTGAACCCAATAAATCAAATAGACCAAAGCCACTCAGTGATATCACCAGCCTGAAATTCAAAATCCTTATCCACGTTACTAAGGTTGTACAGTATTGAAAGCTGCAATACTATAAATCCAGTAGTTTGCCAACTCTGATTGTGGTAGAAGTTAATATGCACCACAAGCCAATATAATATTTTCATTTGCTGAAAATATTCCAGAGGAACAATCCCATTCTAGTAACAAGGCATTTATTTAACATGATAAATAAATCTATGACAGTAGCATTAGGCTGTTGAATATTTATACCTTTCAGTAAGGCTTCTTGACATTTTGACACAAAAATTCATCTTAGACAAAAGCCAGTATGTGCTGAAGTGGTAGAAAGAAAAAATGAACTTACCAGTGAAGTCGTATAGCATGGAGAAAAGCAGAAAGCCCCTCCATGACCAAAAGAATAGACACTGTTAGCACAGCAAAGAAGGCTAGAAGAGGGACCAGCAGTAAGACACCATATGTTGTATCCACACGAAGACCTACTCTCATCACCATTTGCCACAGAACTTCTGATAACTCTATGAACAAAAAGAAAAGTTTCCATAATGAATGTTGATACTGCAGATACCTGGTGAGCTGCTCTCACTGGCCTGTATTCTCATTTAAACAGTAGCACAGGATCTATGGGAACTATAAGCAAACCCCTCCCTATTAGTTGCTCTTCTCTTTCTCCCCCAAGACACTAAAAGGTACATCTCAGTTTCAAAATACTGAGGGCAGTGTTTTTTGTACCATGACCCTAAGATTTAAGCCTAAATACCTTCCAAACTTGTCAATCAGCAGAAAATAGGAACTGGTGCTCTGCTCACTGATGCACCATTATGGGAGGCAGCACCATGTTGAGGGCATCAGCCACTTCACAACACAGAGTAATTAATCAAGAAAATGACCAAGTTCCAAACACTAAGTCACAACTTCAGTTTGGGAAATTTCCATAGATCGTGATTAGTTTAAAAAGGGAATTTTCTTAAATTAAGAAAAACATTCCTTTCATTAAAAATCAAGACAGATTTAAAAAAAACCAAACATCTAAAACCCCCCACTTACGTGCATGAGCAAGACTTAATGCCCAGAGTCTCAGATATGAGGCTGTATTAGAAATGCATCCCAGACAGTATTCAATGGTATGAATTGCTTGATTCATAAAAACATCTGCAAAATTAAACTAAAATACAAAAACACATTTGAATCCATTGAAACAACATTGTACAGCATGAGAGAATAAAAACATTCATCTGCAAAGCTTAACATACATGGAAGAAAAATTCCAGTGTAGGGTAATAAATTGATTTCACATCAAGTGAAAAAAAGATCTGCTATGTTTAAAAAAAAAAACATCAGATGCTACAGCTTTCTAGTAAGTTTCCTCATTTACTTCACTGATAGGTAAAAATGAATACAATGGGTTTTTTCTTCCACAAGGAGTATGATCTAATGCTCAAAAATTCTTCAATAGTAAAACCAGTCATGGCTCTAATTCCCATTCTAGTGATGTTGTAAAGTTTACAATGTCAATTTTTGCATCTTTAACACGGGGATTAATTATTAGTAATGCTAGTGATAGACAAATAACTACATTAACACTGTAAGCAACAAGTATTTATATTTAGAATTTACAAAGAGTTCCAAGACTAATACTACTGAAAGTTTCAACACGTACTTTGCATGGAACTCTGACAACTTTTATTTAAGCAAACAATTCTTGTGCTTTCTGTACATGAGAAGCCAGAGTCTCTTACCACAGCAAAACAAGTGCTGTGCACAGTCTGCATGTGGGGAAACTGAAGCACTTTTTGTCTTTTAATAAGCATTAGATCAGTGGAACCAGTCAAGACCTTTAAATATTTGGCCAAACTAAACAGCAGCAATCACTAAGGCCTAGGAATGCAGCTCATGTCTCCTAACCCTCAGCAGCAGTAATCCTCATCACAAGATGTAATTTGCAGACATAAAAAGACTTTTGTCTGGATGAAAAGCCAAGATTAATGAACAGGAAGCTGGGCAGTCATCCTGTTGCCTTAATTTTAGGAATCCATAAAACCATACAAACCCCAGAATTTTTACCCCACTCTTCAATTTAAGAAAAACTACAGTCTTAGATGCAAATGAAGTACTTTTCCTGTTCTCCAGTACAAACAGATTGTGGTTCTCTGTAACAGTATGAACATACTAAGACATAATGATACAACAGCAATAAATAAAAAGTAAATAGCATCCAGGTATCAAGGTCTTTTCTAAAGGTTCAGCTGGTTTCCTTGAGACTTCCAGGGACTCAGCACACAGATTATCTTCTTGGTTTTCCACTCCTAATTTGCTTTTAAGAAGATACAAACTAGAGATAAGTAAACCCATTACCTCTTCTCCATCCCCCTCTCTGTGCCCACTGTCTGAATGACTGCTTCCTTCTTCCACATCATGAGATCTCAGCAGAGAAAGTTCTTCTTCACTTTCCTTTCTAATCAGCTTGTAGCCCCTCTGCAAAATGGAAAGCCATTGTGTCTTTAAGTGGACTTTTATTTAAAGCAGTCACAGGCAAAGGTAAAAAACAGCTAGAGGAACAAAGCATTATTACACATTATAGTCAAAAACTTCCCATTTTGAGTAGAAATATCTAGTACGGACATTATTCTACAGGCAAGACAACAGCAGCTGAATTCTTCCACACTGAAGAAATGTGCAAGTGTCACTCAGGACTTACCCTGTTCATTCTTATGCCTCGGCCTCCACTGTGCAACCAATATAAATAAAGTGGTTTCCCAAAAAGCATCACAGGAACAGAAAGAAAAGCAATAGCAAGTAAAAACCTCTGGAGAGCAACCTGTTTGGGGGGAGGAAGAAAATGACATTAGATCACAAAATCAAAAGCAGGAAAATCCTTTCCATTTTCATTTAAAGGCCTGTTTAAGCCTTAAGAAAAGTACTACTAATTTCAGTGGGCATGTTCTCCAAATTGAGCCTGCACATAAGCTTTTTACTTCATCAGGCCCTTAAACTGGGTTACAGACATCCAACATCTTCAAGAGCAGGTTCTAGATTAAGGCATTACTGATATTCAGTTAATAAGATTATTTAGAGCACATAGAAAAGCATCCAAATTCCAAGCATGAGACTGTTCCATAGCCTTAATTTTAGGCTAGACTTTGTTCCAGAAACAGGTATTTTCACAAGTCACTACATAAAATCTTACAACCAATTAAAGAGTAAATATGTTATTTAACCACCACCTTTACTCCATTTCCCCTTCGTCTGATACATTCCTAGGGGAACACTCATCCATCAGCCTTTTATGACTGGTAAAATGTTACCTGCATTGGAAACAAGTGGATTTTGGGAAGCTTGTAAGAACACTACTAACCTGTCCAGTGTAGAAGTCCTCTGTGTCCCCACCAGTGAACAGGAACATATTAATAAAATTAATCAGAATACTAGGAGCAGCTGTAGAGTTCTCTGCAGAGTATGCTAACCATTTATAGAAGATCAAAAACACAAGGTAGCCAAAGATGCACATCATGAATAAAAGTTCAGGAAGAAAAACCAAATAAATATTATACATCTTCTTAAAATGCCTACAAGATAAAAAAAAGGGGGGAGGAGAGAACAAAAAATAAGTTCCACAAAGAAAGATCAAGGCCCAAACATGATTTCAACACAACAGGACAGTACCCAGCACTTTCAAACAGCAATATTGAAATT